TCTTGAAGTGTATATTGTTGTTACGACTGGGTTGTATGTTGTTGTTGCCGCAGGGTTTAGTTGAAATAAACAGTTATATGACAAGTATATCTTTGTATTTTCTCGAGCCAGACTATAGGGCTTAATTGTGTGGACTCTGTAATTATTCTAAGGGGACTTTTGAATTCTAAGATTGGTTAAAGTCCTCATTTACTCTTTAATCTTATCTTGAAGAGAGTAATAATAAGAGCTGAAATGGAAAATACTGGTACCATTCAGCAACTAGGTACTTAACGGTATTTGGCGACGCGGTCGATTTAGATATTGTAGCTTACATCTTATAGAATGCTTTTCTTAGCTTGATGGAAGAAGCTGTGGATATTAGGTTGATTAAAAAAGAAGAAAAATAAAATATATAAGAGAAAGGAAACATATCACTGTCAAGAAAACAAATACAATCAGAAATATAGGAATAGTTCTATTTGTAGAAATCTAAAAATATTTATAAAGATAATCATTCTAATTTTATTTAGATAACTACGACAGGAGCATATATTTCTTTAATTTTTTATTCTTATAATATTCTAATGTTTAGCTTCAAATAGGTAAATGAGTACTTAATATACTGTTTAGGTAGGTCCTTTCCACGACTAGAAAGAAAAGTAATGAATAGCTTCTTTGGATTTCTTAAAATTAGATCTCAATCGATGGCTTTTGAAAGATCTGTAAATATTTTTTTTATCGTTAAGTTATTTCACTCATTTAACAAATTGAAGAAATGAATTTTTTGTCTCTTATTTTTTTGATTTGCGAATATTTGTTTCACCATTCCTGTTTATGTGTGTTTTTAGATATGTTTTCTTCATACATTTATAAACACTACGTCTTTTGTTTATTTATTTAACCTAAGACCGTGGGTACACTGGACACGTAAATCGTACGACACGACGGAAAAGGGGCTCTGCACTGTCTGTTCAAAAAACATACACTTACCATGGCAACGTCACGTCTCGATATTTCTAATCCATTCATTATTTCTAACCTTATTCAGTATATTTAACTAAATAATAGTTTAATTTTATCAAAGTGGTTTTTTCATGTTTTCCAATTAGTAAATATTAATTTCAATAGTATTTATTCGATAGATTATCTAAATTAATTCAAATTCAGTATAAAAATGACAGAATAATAAAAATTATTCCATTATGCAAAAGAAAATAGTAGATTTAATAGAATAAATAGAATTGAACATTAAGAATATTATACTTTTGTTTTAATACTTCAAAGAAAAAATAAAACTTATACTTTATAAATTATTAGAGTTATGCTTATTACTATAATTTTAATATATCATCTAAAATTAAAGGCCTTATATATGTATCTGGTAACGTATGCTAATTCCAATCACTTTCTAGTTCTATTGCTGGCTGCACTATTTAATATTGTTTATTATCACACTATTTCCATTGATGGCTGTGTATAATTTTAGCATTACTTATAAGTTATTTCAGTCTATTTGTTCAAATTCTGTTCTATTCTTCGATATTTAATAGTTTTGCATTTTGCTTCAAGCAGGTAGGTAGGATATGGGTTTAAGGGCGATAAATTTACTTTACGTATAACATATTTTTTGTATTGTTTTCTAATCGTAATTTTAGTATTAGTTATATGGTTATGTATTTTATTATTATTATAAATTTTATGTGTGTGTGTTCTTTTTACATGTTTCCATTTAAATTAGGTATATATTTTAATTGATGAGGTTTTATATCCCGATTATGGAACGCTTTTTCGCGTTGATCCCATAGGTGGGGCTCATTCCTTACGAGATTTATGAGTAACTCCTTGTCGATTTTTCCTGAAATCGTTACAGTCCCTGCTTCAATGTATGCAGAAATCCTACTGGAAACAAACAGATATGATAAGTCAACCGACTTTCGTTGTTCGTACATAATTGTTGTTTGTCGTTTTGGACTTCCGTGTGGAGCATAGACACCTCCTATCTAATTTTTTTTTTTAATCTACACCGCACAACGAACGTACAAAGAATCGTGTAAAATTATTCAATCTGAAATATTAATTATATATCATATAAATTCAGAATATATTTCCAATGCAGAGGCAATTTAATAATCATTATGTATTTTTATAAAGCAATCGTTCCGACGATTACTTCCTAATTTACATCTATTCATTTTTAAATGTTTAGCGTTACCCAATGTACATAGAAAATAATAGTATAATTTCATTGAAACTTTTTTATTAATGTTTTCAAATTAATCAATAATAATTATTGTTTTATTTATTCAATATGTAATCCAAAAATAATTCAATCCAAAGTAAAAAGATATTAGTAATAATTGTCCTTTATTGTTAGCAACTATTATTTATTATTGCATTACAAATATTAAATATCTTCTCATGACTATTTTAAAATTTGCAGTGTTGAGTACTCAATGGTTATCCGTAGTATATGATATGAATAGTGAAAAACTATTTTATTTTAGCCAAAGTTTCGATCCGACTTTGTAGGTCTTCATTGGGACTAGAACGAACAAGATAAAAAGGATATAGAAAATTGTGGAAGTTTATGAATTTAGATGAAAATTATAAATATTGTAAATAGAAAGCATATAAAAGTATTAAGAACGTAAAACATATAAACAGAGTAAATTAAGTATTAAGAGCAATTAAGTATAAAACTAAATAACGAGACTAAAATAAAGCAGATAAAAATTGTAACATAATTGTACATGATAAAAATTTAATGTAATAAAGAGGATGGATATACATAGTCAAGAATATAATCAGACGAATCTTAAGGAAAGATTAAATGGAAAAATGATTAATTAAAACATATGGAGTGATGAATGGACAAAAGGAAAGAAGAAAAAAAAGAGAGAACTAAATAAATAATGAACATTAAAGGGGTGTGAAGAAAATTCAGAATGATAAAGACTTACTTGTTTTATTAGACTGGAATTCAGTGCGAAACTGTCAAGTAATTAGAATAAACATTGGCGTAATTAGCTGACATTACCAAAAATGGCTAACTAGGCCGAAACGTAAAATAACGAACATTTTTTTCTTAATTAATAGTAAAAAGGAGTTTTATATGTAAAATTTGTTGGTTGGAGTGTTTGTGGGATTTCGAAACTTAAATCTGTCATTGATTGAATGTAAAAAAATTAAATGATGATTAAATAATCAACAATCGGATAAATAATTGTTTATCAAATAACCTCTTTTTTTAATTCTATGTTTCTTGTTAGTTATACCTTAAGTTTATTAATATTGCTATAAAGTTCAAAATTAATATTATTATTTATGTTCAATTTTTTTTTAATGTTTTCAATTTCATTTGGTGTAATATATATTTTGATTTGGAATACGTATTCCAATTTTTTATACTTTTACTGCATTATCATTTAATAATTGATCAAAAATTAATTGGTTTCAGGGGATTAAGTTTTTTATTTAATATTTCAAATACCTTGTCTTTAATTTTCTCTATTTGTTTATGTGTTAATTTTATTTTATTTTACATGGAATTAGTACTGATATTTATGGACCGTCGTGTTGAAAAATCGGTTTGGAAACAAACCGGTTTGAAATTCCCACGACGTCGTACGACGTCGTGTTGGGCGGGTTTGCCTATCCACGCCCCTTCCATCGAACCGTTTGTTTAATATATTTCATTAAACAAATTTTAATATAAATTTCAAAATAATGCAATTAATGACTAGGCAAAAATAGATTTTTATTACAGAATGGTATTGGATAATTTCTTTATTTATTGGCAAGAATTGAAAAAATTAAAAATAAATTAGTGAATTAATATGTTAATTTATTTGGTAATCTTTTTTTTTATTTAAATATTGATGCAATAGTCATGGATTAAAATTAATAATTTAATGAGATATTTACAATATTATGTATGAATTATAATGTATGACTATAATTGCTGAAATAAATTGCAAAAGAAATAAACGATAACTTAAGGACATTGAAACCATAGTTAATTAAACGAAAAAAAAACCTTTGGTAAACAAGAGGTGTGGATTTAATTAATCCTTCCAAAATTATTTACTATATTTAATTGAAATAATATCAATATGAATACTAGAAAAATGAAATTAATGAATAGAAAAAAAACAAATATTTTTACAGAATGTTTTGAATAATTTTATTTATGACTGATAGGGACTGAAGAAACATGATGTGAATTAACCTTTTTAACTAATCTGGTGTTATTTCGGTATTTTTGAACAACATTTAATTATTACGGATTAAAATATACAATATATATATTGTATTTAAAATAAGATAATTTTTGTTGAAATGAGATTTTTAATTTGTTAAATATGAATTACATATAACTTAAAGTAATAAGCACGATCCAAATAATATTTAATTATATTATAGAATAAAGCTGATGATGAGCTAGATAAAAAAATATATTTTAACTTTATTTTTTAAATTTAAAATATATAATAAATAAAATTAACAATGTTTTATGATATTTTTTTTTTAGTTATTTTCATATTTTGCGTGCTATTGACCATTTAAAGTCACAGCTTATTTTTCTCTATAATGCAAGTGTATTCTTTAAATGACAATAATAATTATTTATTTTTAAAAATAAAATGAAAATAGCTATTGTTGTAATTTTCTACTGTATTTTGAATTACTTTTGGATTATTTATGGAATAAATAATACCGTAATTAATACTTATTAATTATTAAATAATCTTAAAGGAATTAACAATTATTTTTTATGTATATTGGATGAATATAAAACAATTAAATTGATAATAAACATTAAAACATGAATGAAAGTCATATGTTTTTGAGCTAAACAGTAGAGCCGTCGTATCGTGTCGTGACGGATCCAGTGTAACCACGGCCTAAGGCTTCAAATAATCTTTATTTTTGGTACTTTTTCATAATAAATAACGGGTCTTGGACTCATAATAAAGTTGCTTATTCTATCCTGTTCTACTTACATATTTTAATTTCAGGAAAAAGATAACATGTTCCTTTTGCTTTCGATGGAATATGGCAAGAGGTGGCGTGAGGCGAGAGATAGTTTATCTAAAGAAGCAAATGTAATTCATCTAATGGAAAATGATTTCCTCTTTCGGCGGTACGTTATACGAGGACTTCTTTTGAAGAAGAAACGGAACGAGAAAGTAACACTATTTAAAATGAAGAGGTTTGTTTGTTGATGATAATTAAAATTAATCTATTTATTTGTCAAGAGTGGTCATGAAGTTGAAATTTGTAATAGCAATAGAAATTGGATCAATTTAATTATTGACTTCTTCTTCACATACGGCAACACGAAGTTTGCCTTTTATTTATAATAATTATATGTGCGGCTTATAGGAAAATAAGTTTAAGTTTAATTCTCTGATATATTAGTTTTATTTATACGATTCTTTTATTATTATGTCTCTCATATTTTGCGCATTCGGTGTTTCATTCATTCGCGATTCTCCTCTGACGTTATTAAAAAATAAGCCTGAAACAACAATCGATTGTACGACGATTCTTTCAGTTTATTTTTATTTATTTATTTTTATTTGTTTACTTAGACTCTACTCCTAAGGGTCATAGGCTTAATGTTTCCATTTTATATTCTTTTATAAAAATCAATATCTTTTAAATATTTGAGCAGTTTTCCTATTTCGTTTTCCTCATCTTGCAGGACCTCTTTCATTTCCTTTCCCATTTGTAAATTTTCCTTATATCAGTGTACCTTCTACATTCTAATAATATATGCTTTACTGTTCTGGACACTTGACACTGTGTGCAAGTTGGGGTTTCTAATCCTCGTAGGAGGTATCCGTGGTAAAACTCACAGTGCCCGATTCTTAAGTGACATAGTATCACTTCCTCTTGCCTAGACTTTCGGTTTGTTTGTGTGTTCCATGTTTTTGTTATTTCTGAAAGTTTTGTCGAAATCATTTCCCATTTATTTTGACAGGAGAAGGCAAGTGTCCAATCTTTTTGAGGAATGGTCTCAATTATTGTGGTTTTTGCAGTTTCTTGATAACGAGCGGAATTGGCAGCAGCATCGGCTGTCATTACCCCGGACACCATAATGTGATAGTAACCAGATAAGGACTATGTTTTTATTTTCTTCCTTTAGTGCACCATATGTATTAAATATTTCTGTTATAACAGGATACTGGTACGCTGATTGTTCTATTGGCGATTAATCGAAGTCTCTTAGATTCGACTGCGTCATTTAGACTCCTACTTAGAACTCATTTTTTAAGGAGACCATTACTTGCGATTAGAATATTATCGTAGGCTGCTTGCAGAATAATAATATTCCAATTAACTACCTGAAGATCTATGTTATTAGCGGTTCTTTCTAGAGTATCCTTGCTTAATATAATTGATTTCTGAAAAGATTCCCAATCAGTTGCCTCATACTTCCAGTGTCCCTTTATATTCTGTGAAAAAGACGGCCATTTAACCTGAATAATTATGGGGAAACGGTCGCTTCCGTATAACTAGGTTTTAGTTCTCCAGATGCATTTGGGGGCCAATCTGACGTCAGCGATGCTTGATTCGATGGCAGAGAGACTATTACTTCCTTAACCGAGGTAGGTAAATGAAACTGGTATTAAGAAGAGTAGGAGTGCTGTTACACTCTAAAAATTTAATAACGCTGTGTCCTTTATACCCAATGCCATCGTCAGGGGTTCAGCTCCTTTGATTACTGTTGCGACTGTTTCTATGTGTGTGTCTAAATGTAACTCCTCGGAGAAAAATTCAGCTCTCACAAGGGTTAAAACATCAACACAAGATCTCCCAGCTCCTTTTCTATCCCTTCTGTAGGCTCGATATCCTTTGACGTTTAAGGAAGACATGGTTTTCATTCAAGTGAGCTTCTTGTTTGCAACAGTGGGGTTTCTTCATTCATTAATTTCTGAAAGAATTCTAAATGGCGAAAGAATCCATTAAAATTCCACTGAACATTTTGCTCCATGGAGTTAAACATTTTTTTTTTATTTTTTGGCCTGAAGATCAATAAACACTAGAAAGCTTTGAATCGTCAGAGTCTGATAGTTCTGTTTTGGGGCTAGAAACGGTACCACTTAGCTCTTTAATAATTTTTGAAACTCTAAATCTTCATTCCTCTGTTCGGTAACTTGTGCCTTATATCGGTTAGCATAGTTTTAAATCCATCGATGTTTTTTGAAAACTGTGTGACAAGTTGTTTAATGTTTGTGGCTTTTTCATTATGAGCCATCTCAAGAAATAGACATAATTTTGAGTAAGATAAGGAAAGGAATATTTGTCAGAGTCTGTCAAATATCATTTATGACTAATATACGAATTGGTTCTGACATTTCCTTGATGTTTTTTCGTTTTAATATAGGAACTTATGTTTTATTTATTTTACTATTTTTATGTAGTATTTTTTTCTTGTTTTATACTCTCGGTTTGTTTTCTGTACTTAGGTTAGTTTTATTTTTTGTGGTACTTTGTTGTGTGTTTTGGGTTGCTGAATTGTCTGGTTTACCAGTGCATGAGTTAGCAATAGGTAACCCTACTCAACGCAAGAGATAACTCTTTACTCAGTATTGTAAAAGCGATACTGAGGGAATTTTTATCATTGTCATTTGCAATAAATGAAATGTTTTCTTCCCTGTCCACCATTAGTTCTTCATGGGTTTCAACCGAACTGAAGTTATTGGTTTCACAACGACTATTAACTTCGCTGAGTGGACAATTTAGACTTATATGACCCTCTTCGTGGCATGAAAAGCATCTAACATCATCACTATCGAGGAACAACCTGTAAGCATCTCCTTCAAATTCCACAAGAAAGTTCGCAAGTAAAATAGGTTGGGCGAATGTGCGTCTTCTGGAACTGAGGATATGTTCATACCCAGGTATTTTGATCCATGCGCGAAGGCAATTTACTGCCGAGAATAGCTTGACACCTATCTTTTTAAATTTATTTTCTATTAGAATACTGGGGAGATGTGGGGGGACATTAGATATAACAATTCTTTTTGAATGCACAATCAGGGGACGCGCTGGAATGAAATTACCATCAATTTTAATACCCTTGTGTATTTCAATGAAGTCTAATACATGTTGTTTATTTGATAGAAATAAAACGATTCGGTTATTAGAGATTTTAGAAGAAAATATTATCTTACCTGGGCTTATCAGTTCTCCAACTGGTACGATGTATTTTAAGATGTAAGCTTTTTCAATTGCGGTGGATATAATATCCTGATCTTTTCTTAGAATCAGTGCTGATTTTGCAATTGAGCCAAAATACTTTCTAGTTGAGACTTCGTTGGGTTTCAAGTTGTTTTCTATGTTCATGGTTAGGATTTGTCTTCGATTTCCATTCTTCAGAATGGATATACCTACAAAATCAAAATAGATTTTGGCGGTCTGTAGGTCTAAATGTCTCGAGTTTTAATTAGTTTTGATGAAAACAAAAGCGCCATGAAATTCGACAAATATTTTTTTCTCCTCCTTGCTTTCAACAATGGTGAAGTATACTTTTGAAGCGGTCTGTCCATTAGTTAATCGTTTAGTCATCACTTTGTCTTTCTGTAGACAGTGCAGTTCCCTAGTCTCTTTCAGGTGCCTTTACTTCGGGACGAGATAACAGAAACAAGAAACATATGAAAGGACGCTAACTATCATCCATTTCCTTTTAGAGGCTGGCAATTTTACAAACCGCAAAATTACCGAAATATCTAAAAAAGAAATATTGTGGTGACTTTTAATATGTTATAGAACTTTTGTTTATGCTCGCAGCATTTATTTATTAATTATTTTAATTAATAAATTATGACGCTTATCTAGCCTAAGCAAGATATATATCCTTTCATCACAAACTCCAGACCCATCCGAACCTCCGTGTTTCCAGCCTTACTTCCTCCTCGATTGCTGATATTCCTCCTAGGCGTCATAAAAGAAGATGGCCTCTTGATTTTCTTACTTAAAACTATTCAGGGAGTGCTATCACTTTGTAGTGTCTACACATGTTTACTAGTTGTATTTGTTTAGTTGTAAATTTCAATAAATAAAAAAAAATTGTTTTGTTTTATTTTCAAGTAGTTTTGAAGTTCAAATATTTAATTTAATCAATAAATAAAAACTTTGCAACAGTTGATTGTAGTCATTTTTTCTGAAAAGATACTTTTAGGAGACTGGATAGAAAATCACATTATTTATTTACACAACTTGCGGTCAATCTGAAGATTTGCATTATAAACTTCATTTTAATTAACATAAAGTTAAACCTCATTAAACGTGGAAGTTTTTCTAAAAGTGGGGTAACTGTATTATAGTTGGATGATGATAAAAAAAAAAAATGGGAATACCTTTCGATTTTTTTAATAACAGTACTTAATTCAGTGTAGCCGCTCAAATTTCAATTAAAGTAAATTTTGTCTAGTTTACAGTGAAGTAATTGTTAATAATAATAATAATAAAAGGCTTAGCGAATCCGAAGGTTCGATGCCGACACCACCAATCGCTTATTACACAACTCTCTCCACCGTTCGCCGTCCAAACCCAGTCCCTTCCCAGATCGGCTTTAATGCAATCATCCCACCTTCGCTTCGGTCTACCCCTCGGACGCTTACCATTCGGCACAGCAAACATTAACCTTTTAGGAATTCTCTCGTTACTAAGCCCAACAACTTTACAAGCCCATTTGATTCGCCGCGATGAAATTACCTCAATTATATTACCCGGATACAGTCTCACGCAATTCGGCGTTGTGTAACCGTCTGAACTCTCCGGTTAACTCATCCTTCTTCGGTCCGAATATTCTACGCAATACTTTATTTTCAAAAACCTTAAGACGCTGCTCATCCCTTAATGTAAGCGGCCAAGTTTCGCATCCATAAAGAACTGTAGGCAAGATAATTGTTTTATAGATTCTAATTTTTAAGTTCCGGGACAAGAGACGCGAACTAAGTAGTTTTGTCACAGAAAGATAACAAGCATTTCCCGCCTTCAGTCTAACCTTAATCTCTTCTTCAATTTGTTTTTTTTTCTAGTTATCGTAGAACCTAGATACCTAAAGTTATCTACCTGTTCAAGCATATTACCATCTATATCGATATCACCAGTAGTATCGCCATTTTTGCAGCTAACCATATATTTTGTTTTATCCATATCCAGGCTTTCATTAACGTTGTCGTATTTAGTTTTATAGTTTCAACGTCTTCGCTTAACACGACCAGATCAGCAGCATTGCCCAGCACGGGTGTTTTCCCGCCCAGATCCAACCCTTTCTCGGTACGCATTACCTCCCTAATGGCATGTTCTAATGCCAAATTGAACAGGACAGGCGAAAGGGAATCCCCCTGTTTTAAGCCCGAACGAACCTCAAATTTTTCGGACAAATTATTACCGATTCTAACTTTATTGAGTGTCTCCGTCAAGCACATCCTGACTAGATTTACTAGTTTTTTTGGAATCCCCTGCTCGATTAGAATATTATACAGTTTCTGGCGGTCAATAGAATCGTAAGCCTTTTTAAAATCTATATACAGCTGGTGAACAATACCGTTGTACTCCAATTCTTTCTCTAATATTTGCCGTAAAGAAAATATTTGATCAATAGTCGAACGATTCCGTCTAAATCTGCATTGGTAGTCTCCCATAATTTCCTCGGCGTATTCCGTGATTCGACTGGTTAAGATTAAAGTGAATATTTTATAACATACCGGAAGGAGTGAAATTCCTCGATAGTTATTACAATCCGTCCTCGGATCCTTTTTTTGAATTGGAATAAGAATAGATTCTCTCCATTCTTCAGGTAATTTCTCATTCACCCAGATCTTTTTAACCAACCGATGTATTTTAGAAACTCCGATGTATTTTAGGAATGTTATCGGTTCCCACTGCTTTATAAGATTTTAATTTTCCGATAGCTACTTCAACTTCCTTTTTACTTGGTCCTTCTATTAACGGTTCAGCACTCTGGTATTCAGAAGGAGGACACAGATCATAATTTCCCGTATTTAAAATATTGTCAAAGTGGTCCTTAAACTTATTCAATATGTCAACCGGATCGGTCAGAATATTGTTATTATCATCCCTAATTCTGGACGTTACGGGCCCTACACATTTACATGATCTGTTTATACCTTTGTACATGTCTCTTACGTTATTTTCAATCCTATTAGTATCTATTTCAATTATTTTATTTTTAAGATACTCCCTTTTTTTATTTTTGAGCAATTTTGTCGTTTCGTTCTTTGAGGATTGGAAGTATTCCAGATTGTCTTCGCTAGGATTATTTAGAGCTTTTAATTTAGCGGCTTTTCTTTTTTCGCACATGTTTAAGCCAGCTTCATCAAACCACGGTTTGTTATTCTTATTTTCCTTTTTTCCTAGACACGAGTTACCGACCGCTTTAATATTATCCATGATCTCTACTCATAACTTGTCAATATCCTCCTGCTCCTCGTCAGGAAGCTCTAAAGCTTCAAACCTATTCTTAACATCTAGCTCAAATTGGGTTCTAAATGATGGATTTTTTTAATTTTTCCAAATTAAAATTCTCAAAATCGAAACGGTTTTCTTTTCTCTTTTTTATATTAAGTTTTTGTCGAATTTTAGCGATTACTAATTCATGATCCGACCCACATTCTGCTCCGCGATAAGACCGTACATTAATTATACTGCTTTGTCAGCTATGTTGTATCAAGACATGATCGATTTGATTTCGTGTTTGCGAATCCGGTGATGTCCAAGTATATTTATGAATATCCTTATGTTTGAACGTCGTACTTTTAATTATCAGGTTTTTCGAGATGGCAAAGTTTATCAGACGGATCCCATTATCATTACTATATTCGTGCAAACTTTCTTTACCAATCGTCGGAATATAAACTTCTTCCCTTCCTACCTTTGCGTTCGCGTCACCTATAATTATTTTCATGTAGTTTCGCGGTAGTTTATCATAAACCCCTTCGAGTTTATCGTAAAATTCACTTTTGACTTCATCGTCACTGTCTTCGGTCGGACAATGTATGTTTATTAATGCGATTTTAAACCAACGTCCCTGAAATATAGCTACCGAAATTCTATCACTAAAGAATTGTACGTCCCTCAAAGCGGATAGTAATCTATTCCTAATAAGAAACCCGGTACCTAAACAATGATTCCCGCTTCCTCCGTACCAAATAGTGTACTTTCCTTCCCTCATCGAGCCCTCGCCAGGCCAGCGAACCTCCTGCAGAGCCACGACATGCAAATTGTACCCATTTACCTCATTAGCGACCGATTTTAGCCCCCTGCTGTGTTTAAATTCCTTACGTTCCACATACCAATATTTAAATCCCTATATTTCAACTTGCGCCATGAATCCCCTAAAGCAGTCCCCACCCGGAGACCCGAACGGGGGACTAGTTTACTTCCGGATAATGTGCGTTTTACCTTAGGGAGATCCATGACTATTTGTCGTGTTTGGTGAACTAAAGATATGTGAGTAATTGTTAATTACTTTAATTAAATATTTCTTTTGTTATCGTATTAAATAATACTTCAGAGCTTAACTCTAATTTTTCATTATCCTATAGATACTAAATTCATTCATAAAAAGGTATTCACCGCTAATTTTATATTCTCATAATCCTGTGCGGATGCCGCCCAGTAAGCATACATTTTCTCGTTTCCAGATTTTTTTGGTCATGCTACTGTTTATTTTAATAACTTTCTTGACGTATGTGAGTGGTCTGTACTTTTGATGTAATAGGTATTGGAAGATTTTTCTGTTTATTAATTAAATAAAATATTATATTGTATTGAAAATTAGACGTGAAATCAATGTATATTTTGCTAATCTCAGTATCTTATGACTATCAAATTAATTTAATTTATATAGTTTTACATCTTTATTTTTTACATTTCAGATTCGAAAATATACCATCCAGAGTTCAATCACGAAGAAATAACCAAATAGAACATGCAAAGGAAAGTTTGCGGGATGAGATTATTAAAGAAACTGAGGAACAATTAAAGCAGGACAGGATAGCCTTCCAGAAAAGAGCAATACTAAAAACTGAAAATGATAAAATAAATGTGTTTTAATCATCTCATATACTATTTTTATATTTTTATCACCATTTTAGATTTTCACATGATTTTCAATACACACACACGCATGCACAAACACAGAAATAAAGTCTCAAATCTACTTATATATTAGGGATCGGACGATACCAATATTAATACCGGTATATCGGACATATGGGATTTTTGGGTAATTATCGGCATCGGCTGATATTAAACGCCGATTAGCCGATATATAGGCCTTTTTTATAAAGCCTCTTCTCATATTTTCAGCAGATACGGATATCCTAAAGACCGAAATATCGGCCTTATGACCTTATTTTAACGAAATTTGGTTGGTAGAGTTGGACCAATTTTTATTTAATTTCTTTTTTCTGATCTTCCCCTCCCCTAATTTGGGTCAATATATCGACCTAACGACCTTATTTTATCAAGATTAATAGTTTGATTACTTCTTTTTTATCTACTTAATTTTTTTTTGTTAACCTCTGCAAAATTTGCTGGTCATACTTTTAAACCAATACATCGGCCTCTTCCACATTGAATATTATTTTTATTGCTCATAAATGTGTCAATCATTCGTCAAGAGATCAACGCAAACATAAATTCAATATACCGGCCTTATGACCTTATTTTATTTTAAGATTGATAGAGTTTGACAGACTATTTTTTTTTTTTTTCCTCATCTTCTAATCAGATTTTCAGCAGATACGGATATCATAAAGACCGATATATTGGTTATATGACCATACTTTAATGAAATTGTTATTGTAGTGTTGGACGAATTTTTATTTAATTTTTTTTTTCTGGCACTCCCCTTCCCCTAATTGGAGCTAATGCGGATATTCCGAAGACCAATATACCGACCTCACGACCTTATTGTATCAAAATTAGTAGAGTTTCCCGTGGAATATTATTTATATTATTGAGAAATGTGTCAACCAGTCACCGAGGAATCGACATAAATATAAATTTCAGAACATACCGATATCCAATAATAGAAAAATCCATTTCAACAGAAAGTACTTTTACATACAAGCTAGCATTCATCGACCATGCATCACATCCGTTTGTTAATATGGACTCGACAATAGCTGTGAATATACGCCGCTTGTTGACGTTTGAAATAGCGTTGATCAGGATGCAGATTTTTATTTGCTTTTCTTGCCATCTGTATCTTGTTTCGGACATCAACTTCGGACGCCCTCACATTGTCCAGATAGGACCCGAGCTATTTAGAAGCCTTTACTCTTCTGCACACGTGATCACCTATGAGACCGTCTTTCTCATCTCTCAGTGCCACATACTCAGTCTTTTGGAAGTTTATAGTGAGACCTGCTTCTTCATAAACTTTCTTTAATTAGACAACCACCATCTCCAGGAAAACTTTCTTCTGGAACATCACTACCTGATCGTCTGCGATGAACAGGGTGATGAGCGTGTCGTCATCAAAGTAAACACCGTAGTCTCGACTTCGTCTGGTCCATTGCTTTTTCTTTTCTTTTCAATTTTTTAATTTCGTATGTTTGTTCCAAGTAAGTACTTTGGTCTAAGTAGAGTCCGAGATACCGTACATAGTTCTTTGAAGGCACTGGGTTATTGTCAATCGTTATGGGTGGGTATAAGGCCTTCTTAAAAGAGAAACTAACGTTGGTGGATATTTAGTTCAAATGTTAAAAATATTTTAAAACGTGTTTCTGTTTTCATTTTGATTTATTTAAATCAGATATTCTATAAAAAGAATATATATTTTTTACACTACTGTTCTAATTTATCAATTTATACTTATATCAGGTATTTTATGTTAAACGATAAGTGTTTCGTGCAAAATGATTCTTTCATGGAATATAATTATTTCAAGTATAACTATTTCACTAACAATAAATATTGTCAAAATATTTTCGGTAGATAACTATAGATTGTTTAAAATCCATGTCTTGTAGTTTGTGTTGTAAACATTACATTGTTCAGATATTGTATAATTAGTTTCCTATTTCATAATAATTTATTGCATCAAAATATAAATATACAAAAGGGAGCGGGGTAGCTCAGTGGTTGAGCACTGACTTCCAAAGCTCAAGGTTCTGGGTTCGAATCCGGCTAATGACCAGTAATTTTTCTTTAGCCGTGGATCGGTCCTGGGGTTGGAAGACCCTCCTGGGGTACACCTAGCCTCTATAAAGGGAATTGAATTGAAAGTGAAGGGAATTGATCTCATAGCCATTTTCAAGAAAGATTTGAGACTTTATTTATGTGTGTGGGTGTGAACATCCGCTCCCTTTTGTATATTTATATTTTGATGTAATAAATTATTATGAAATAGGAAACTTAAACTTGGCCCAGTGACAAATAGCTACTAAACGCACTTTCAAACACACTTAGAAAACTTATACAACAATACACACAGGAACTTACAAAAAAAACATGTGACCGCCTTACAGACAAGTAACAATACAATGATACCGAAACCAAGCAAACCTTTGGACCAAGTCACGTCCTATAGGCCTATCAGTCTTTAACCCTTATTTTCCAAAATATTTGAAAAATTATTATTAAAACGGCTCTGTCCATTTTTTAGAAGCAAACAATGTTATTCCTAATCACCAATTTGGATTTATACCTGCACACTCTACCATACAACAATGTCATAGAGTGATTGATACAATTGCTGTGGCATTGGAAAAGAAGGAATTTTGCACAACAGCTTTCTTAGGCGTCTCACAGGCCTTTGATAAAGTGTAGCATGATGGTCTACTTTGTAAAATTAAACCGATCTTTCCGCATACATACTATTTAATCATCAGATCGTATCTTGAGGATAGATTTTTTATTGTTAACCAGGATGGTAAATACTCCGACTATTGGCGAATCGGTGCGGGAGTACCGCTGGGCAGTATTTTGGGTCCGGTTTTGTACTCAATTTACTCTTCTGATATTCCACAGACACCAGACACATTGCTCACAACTTACGCAGACGACACTGTCATACTCTCGACTGACTCTAATCCGATCACAGCATCTCAGAAAGCACAGATTTATTTAAATCTTCTACAAGACTGGCTTGATAAATGGCGCATAAAAATTAACATTCAAAAATCAAATCAGGTTGCATTTACACTTAAACGTTCAGATTGCCCTCCACTGACACTTTACAACACCCCTTTGCCAAATCATACAGAGACAAAATATCTAGGACTCACAATGGACAGACGACTGACCTGGAAATCACACGTGACTACATTAAAAAAGAGATTGAACCATTGATTGTTACTACTAAGACGAATGCTACACCATAAAAACAAACTATAACTTTCTAACAAAATTACTATATACAATATGTTACTCAGACCAATATGGATGTATGCCTCTCAGGTGTGGGGTTCATGCAAAAAAACACACACACTATTCAAATTTTCCAATCTACATTTCTCCGGTATATCACTCATTGTCCCTTCTACATATCAAATAAATCACTTCATAAAGACCTACAAATACCACAAGTGACTGATGTAATTAAAAAATATTACAAACATTTTCATGACTCCCTAGCTGGACATCCTAATCCACTTGTACAAACATCACTAACAGACACACTACCACAGAATCCACCAAGGAGACTCAAACGCCAGCAGGGATTTGCTGCATTAAGAGTCAGTTAGGAGTGCCTTCACTGGGAAGTTTCTACAATCACGCATTCACACTACTCCTGGAGAGGAGGTCCGCTAACGAACATCACATTTACAAAATATGCCAAAAGGCATTTGTAAAATTGCTCAACAAATAAATTTATTATTATTATTAAGATTCTTTTTCTTTTTTTTTGGTTTATTTTTTTTATTCACACCTGTCATAATGGTAATGACAACCAGTGAATGTGAGGTTGATTCGAAAAAATAATGTCATGAAAGGCATTACGAGGATCAGTGCCCAGCGGCACCTCACTCCGCGTGATATTAGGATTCTTAAAATCGTTCCATTAAAATACCAATTGTCATATGGGAAATCAATCATAAGGATGTTAAATCCTAAATAAAAAAAATATTAAAAACATATAATTACAACATGTGTTAATATTCGTTGCGTTATCTTTACGGTTCAGTGTGGCAATTTAAGAAGAAAACGTGAAAATAATTTATAACGTTTCCTGGCTCAGGTAAATAAAACTTTGTTATCTGGGGAGGAGAGAACGAGGAAAGAAAAGAATTATTCCTTTTTTTAGTGTATATATATAAGCTCAGAGAAATAAAGGACTACCCTAACGAATGGCAAGATCAATAGAAAATATTAAGATAAAAATAAACTGGTTTTTGCTGGCTTATGCTTTAGAATCGGCAACGAATGGATTTTCACACGGATACTTATTATGATGATTTGAACCAACTCAAATGATGATTTGAAAGTGGGATGAAATACGTTAGTAAAGTTTGTTTATGTTTCACAACTATTAGAAAGATTTAGAATTCAACGAAACCAGGAGTGGATCAGTACAAATGGGGATACTAAGAGGCAAATATTTTCAGGGCCCCGAAAAAAAAATTTCATGTTTTCTAATTGTATTTTTTTTTCCATTGCATTATGAACGTGTAATAATGGCCGTCTTAACGTCCATATACGTGAGCTTAAATAGACAACCATGTGAAATAGACAACCTCACGTATCCACTTTATCAACCTAACATATGTTTTATTAATAAATAATCAAAATCAAAACATTTATTAATGATTTATACAATTTAGACGAACAAACTATAAAAAGCCCAATGAAATTTCTAAATATATAATAGAAACATTAGATAGTGTACAAAAATACGAGCCTCTGCATATCTTATTATGCATATATACATACATATATATATATATATATATATATATATATATATATATATATATATATATATATATATATATATACTAGTCGCAAGAGCGAAGGGCACCCATCGGTCCCAATCGGCAGCGTCCTTACGCACTAAGTGCGCCAGAGAGTTCCACAGCGTCCGATAGAATCGTTCAACTAATCCGTTTCCTGC